CTTTGGATTTTCATCATGTTTGATCAAATGATTCCATACATAACCCTAAGCAATAAGATTGCTTAAATACATAAGTTCTCTTGCACTAAACGACATAGTTTAATAGACTGACATTATTTAATAAGGTAGAGTCTCTCTCCCAGCAAGAGTCTTATCCTCCTTCTTCCATCCATTGCATACTTTAGCCACCACGTTGACTCATTCTCTTCTCTGTCTTGCGAGCCATTCTCCTGGAGTCTTCACTGTCTTTCTCAAGAGTGCCAAAGGCACACCAACCTTATCAAAGTCCTTAGGATCCCCACAAACAAAGAAAAAACAATGGAAGAAATGTTTTTTCAAAAAGAAAAAAAAAACAATGGAAAAAGGCAAATTAGTAAAGAGAGTTGTAAGTATTGTGGAAGTGATATGGATGTTACCTGACTTGGAATGTAATAAATGACTTGGAATGTAATACATTATATATCATAAGTTGAATAAATCAACTTTACTAGCTTTGATTTGATCCGTCTTTGCACTAAAAGTATGTCCATTAAACACTAATGTAAGGAAGTTGGTCCTGACTATGAACAATGGGCATCACAGACATGGGGAGATCTACAACAATCCAGCCTCCACCTTTTAGGCCGTAACATGTTTTTGTAAAAGTCATCTATCTCATCCGAAGTAGAGGGCAGACAGGTTAAATATCAGCAATGATCTGCGCGACAAAATATATATGCTATAAGAAATCATATTTACATTAGCAAATATAGATGAATTATATTATAAAAATCATACCTCTACTTCATCTTTAATTGTATCTTCATCGATCTTAGGGATTGCTTTATGGGTGGTGAATCCATCGGGAACAAGTGCAACATTAGGCAGTACCATGCAAGGGAAAAGCTCGCAACATTTTTTCAAGGACATACATATAAATCATATAAACCACAAAGTAAGTTAGATTAGGAAATGTCATATATTATGTATAAATGCACCAAGACAATATGTAGGGTTAAACTCCTTAAGAATAACCAAAGTAAATACACAATTTCTTAATTCTAATCACCATCTATGAAATGTTTTCTTGTTCTTCAATAAACGTTTATACAAGGTTATTTATGCATAAATAAGTCTAAGCAATTAACATAGTCCAAAAAACTTAACATAGCCCACCAATACAATCTGCTAAGTCAAGGACCCAAAAAATCAGCCGTAAATTGGAGAGCACTAGCGCTTATTAAGTAGAGAAGAAACATACCAGATCCATGAGGCTTTGCACGAGCACCAACGGGCTCATCATCACCTCTTCGAAGCTCTTAGTACATGCAATCAAGATTTCCTCTTTCATTGGTTTTGGGGAATCACCTAGAAGACTCTTTCGGAAAAAATATTTGGTAATGCTCGACATCAAATCCAAATCGCGGAGACCACACTAGGAAATTGAGACTAGACAGCTTTACCATATGTTGGGTGATACACCGGGGTTTGTCTCTTGCGTTCTTTCAAAGATGATAGTCAATGTCGGAAACTCTTACCCTAGATTACATTTTTCTCTACTCTTGTCTGATGTATCTGAAATGGAAACGAGAGTACAAAGTTTTTTATGATGTACATTGGCAGTACAAATTTTCTCATTAGATATGCTTTTTTTTATATTCAAGTGGTCTACTTGTTTGCTCCAAATATTTTTGATGATGTTCGCTGTCAGTTGGTGGCTTCTCATTAGAAGTACATGCTTCATTTTCACCTTTCAGTTATTCTTCCAAATGTTCATTTTTTGATATTCTTCCAAATATATATACAAAAATGGCAAATTTTTAAGAGTAAATTAGCTAAATAACCAAAAAAATTTTATAATGAGAAAAATGACTAAATTGTGGGGATTTCTTTGAAAAATTATAGGGGTTTTGGTTACTTTTCCAATACTATAAGTTTTTTTTGGATATTAAGTGCAAATTCCCTAAATCTCGCGCTGATACAAAATGTACTTTCTGTGATTTCTTTCATTAGTACCTTGTCTAAAGTGTCAGTCATCTTGTAGCATAGGTTTCTGTTTCTTTGTTTAAAATAGGCCCAACATGAATAGAGAAAGCCCAGCGAGACGAAGACATTCGTTGGTCGAAGCACAACGACATCATTTCGAGTTAGTCTTACAATTATGGGTTAAGACTCACTACCGGCTATGGGTATAAGCTGATCAAGCAATGCTATGCTATAATTGTTTTACCGCTCTTTGGCTAAAAATTCTATTAGCTCAGCTGGTTCAGTCCGATTTCTTCAAGTAATGGATGTTTGGTCCGATTCCTCGTAATGTTTTTATTTTACTTCAGTGAATTAATGGGCCAAATTTTGTTTTTGATGAATTAATGGGCCAAAGAATTTACTTTTGCTTGGCCATGAATAGCTCAGCGCTGTTGACTGTACGATTGAAACTGTCGCTTAAACCCGTAGCCGGCGTTTTGGTCTTCGCCGGAGGATTGATCTTATGAGAATGGCGATTTCAGAAGAAGAAGCGAAACTCGGAATGTTCCTTGATTGGCTTCAGGTTCGAAAACGACGGAATTTAGTGATTCGTTAGTTGGTCTTATCATGTAATTTGTTCTTGTATCTCTCTGATGGGTTTCGATCTTTGTTTGGTGAATTTCAGGTGAACGGAGCTGAACTACGAGGCTGCAACATCAAATATTCCGATTCCCGAAAAGGATTTGGCATATTCGCCTCCAGCTCCACTGAAGCTTCCGATGGTAAAGATCAGTTTTTTCTCCTCAACCAAAGTGAGAATCTTATGTCGAAAAACTCATTACCGATCATTTTCAGATGTTTTGCTTGTTGTTCCGCTTGATTTGGCCATTACTCCTATGAGAGTTCTTCAGGATCCTCTACTGGGTCCAGAGTGTCAGAAAATGATCGAACAAGGACAAGTAGATGACCGGTTTCTCATGATTCTGTTCCTCACTTTGGAGCGTCTTCGTAAAAACTCTTCTTGGAAGCCGTAAGTTTGTATCTCTTGCCAGAGATTTCATTGATAATTAAGCCTAAGTTCGAGAGGATTCATATGTATAGAGATGATGTGGTAGGTATCTTGATATGCTTCCTACTCGTTTTGGCAATCCTCTTTGGTTTTCCGATGATGAGATCCTTGAGCTGAAAGGGACAAACTTGTATCACGCTACCGAGTTACAGGTAGATCTTGTACATTTATTCCAATATGTTGTTTATCATATGATGCAACTACCTTTTCTCCTTTCATTGATTTAACCACGAATTTGGAAGATGACCATCGTGAATTCATCCTCTGCCTTTTCAGAAGAAGAAGCTATTTTCACTTTACCATGAGAAAGTGGAGGGTCTCGTGAAAAAGCTTCTTGTTTTGGATGGCGATTCCGAAAGGTTAACGGACCTAACATATTTACGCTGCTTTAGATAGAATTGTTGTTCGTTGATGGTGAACCAAACTATATTTTTTTTTTTGTCTTTTTATGCAGTGAGGTCTCCTTTGAACACTTCCTCTGGTATGTTGGCTAGTGGTGTTATTTCTTATTAGTAGAAAACTAGAGTATTGTGTGTTGTAAAGGGCTGCTGAGTGATCTTGTGACGTTTTCCATTACGCCAGGGCCAATTCTGTATTCTGGAGTCGTGCCTTGAACATTCCTCTTCCACATTCTTTCGTTTTTCCACAAATCCAGGAAGATGTTGGCGGATGCCCATCAACAAGTCATACACCTGAAACGAATCCAGTTAATTCAAATGGGGAAAAAGGCAAGTCACTAATGTTGGTTTGCTGAATTCTATGTGATATGCCTTTTTAATCTCTCTGGCCAGTAGTCTAAACTTCATGAGTTTGTTCACTTTCTGATTAGTAGATATTTCGGCTCCAGTCTCTAGCGCAACATCTGTAGGGCCCGGAGATACTGTGTGGGTTGAGGGGCTTGTTCCTGGCATTGACTTTTGCAACCATGGTATGTCAAATTTTATGACTCGATTTTCAGTTTCACTCTGTCCCATAATGTTAATAGGGTTAATGAGTATATCCGATGTGGTAAGATGTACTATGGTTATGGCAGTATAGATTTGAAGCCTGTGGCGACTTGGGAAGTTGATGGGACCGGATCAGTATCTAGAGTTCCTTTCTCCATGTACCTTCTCTCCGGTTGGCTAAAAAAAATTTTTGTGTTCTTCTCACTTTCTACAATTATCTATCAAAGAGTATCGAACATTCCTTTTCCTCTCTTCGTTTTGATCTATATGTGGAAAACTAAGTGCCACAATTCTGTAAATTGAACAGTTGCACAAAATCATATCCCAGACAAGGAGATTACGATCAGTTATGGTAACAAAGGAAATGAGGTAAGTCACTTTGCAGTTCCTGGCAGCTTCAATGGAAAATCAAATCCAATGATCCTGTTTGTTTTCCAGTCCGATATTTCGTTTTGTTTGCTTGAATGTCTTGTATAAGGAAATATGTTTTTTGCGTCACATCTAGTCCTCTGTTTGAGCGGTGTGCCTTCTTGCTCTATGCAGGAGCTTCTTTACCTATACGGATTTGTGATAGAGAACAATCCAGATGATTATCTCATGGTAATATTTGCTTTAGTTCCTTGCTTTTTATCAACCAGTGATGTATCATGGGGATGTTGATGAACTTTCAAGATCAAGAAGATGCTCGTCGATTTTGTTTTCACATCTGTAACATTGGTTTTATTCAGGTACATTATCCTGTGGAGGCGATTCCGAGTATCCCTTTTTCTGACTCCAAGGGACAGCTTCTTGAAGCTCAGGTCAGCTGTACAAGTCTACGCACGTTAGCTGTACAAGTCTACGCACTATCTTACCCACAATTTTGATTTAATATGTAACTGTTGAACTCTGGAAAACCTCATTGCAGAACGCTCAACTCCGGTGTCTACTGCCAAAATCGGTTCTGGATCGTGGGTTTTTCCCACAAGCCACATCAAAAGTCAGAGAAAGCGAGGAGAAAGAAACAGTCAGATCCTGTAATTTCAGTTGGTCTGGGCAGCGCAAGATGCCCTCATATATGACCAAACTAGTTTTCCCAGAAGATTTTATGACTGGCTTGAGGACCATTGCCATGCAAGAAGATGAGATTTACAAGGTCTCAGCTATGCTCGAAGAGGTATGTTCAATCACCCTTTTTTTTGTTCTTCTTACGTCATCTGTTCAACTTAAACCCAAATCCTACAAGATATTCAACAGTTTGTCTTCCAGTTGATCACTCGGTATTTGCTTCCATTGAGACAAGAGTATTTTTTTTCTTTCCCTGAAAGCTTGTAGAGTCAAGACCAGACGAGCAACCTTCTGAAACTGAGGTCAGGATGGCGGTATGGGAAGCATGCGGGGATTCTGGAGCTTTGCAGTTACTTGTGGATCTCCTTAATACAAAGTAAGCAATTGAATTCGTCACTTGTGAAGTGATATTAAGAGATAACTAAAAGTGTTTTGTTTGTGGGATCAGAATAAAAATATAGATACCCAAGTTAAGTTGGGATTGATTGTGTACTTGAGCATGTTTTTGAGTTGCAGCACTGTTATCAAGTGATGCATTTTTTACGGACAGGATGATGAAGCTGGAAGAGAATTCGGGCAGTGAAGAACAAGATGCTTGGCTCCTCGAGGAGGCATCGAGGTACAATGTCGGATAATCATATATATAGACAGTTTAAGCGTGGAATATCAGAGTGACTGAATAGGTTTGAAATATATGATACAGGGAGTTGGAGGATGGGAGAAGGATGAGCAGAAACAAGTGGTCAAGCGTAGTGTACCGGAGAGGGCAAAAGCAACTCACAAGACTGTTGATGAAGGAAGCCGAGCATGCCCTTCACTTAGCCCTCTCCTCTGACCATTGAGTATATCTCTTATTAGTCTATTTATTAATATATATCAAATTATGGAAAAGGATTTCGCAGTGTTATACATTGAAGAATCAACTCAAGTAATAATGACATGAAACGACC